TTTCATGCACGCACCTGTGATAGGCACGTCGATCAGCCTCTGCGCATCACCACACACACACAGGCAAACAACTTCCATTTCACACACGAGTCCATCTTCACAGTGAGCCAGCATCTCACTTGCGCCAGTTAGATTGCAGTTTGACCTCAGCGAGCCAATCACAGCGCCGCGCGCTCTGCAAGTGAGTCAGCACTGGTGATCGGTTTTGGTGGCTACCAAAACATCACTTTTCCTCCCACAATGTTTTTTTCACACCCTTTGTTCACAATAAGATTGGTTTTATTCCTTTTAAATAAATATAGACAATAATGGAAGGCTGTGAACGATTTTGAGACAATGATGCCTTTGACAAGCAAAAGGTGTGTGTGAGATCCATCCTTGAAATTTAAAATTGCACAATTTTTTAGTCCCTTGTAAAATAAGCACTTACTTGATTATGCGCATCGTCCAGAACCTTCCTTGAAGCCGAATAGCAACAGTATACACAGACCGACGATGCATTTTTGACACGGAGGTTTTGTTGACATGAATTTGAGGCCAGGCTCTCAGGCACCAAACAACTAAAGTATTGCACGATTCCTGTTACTTCCATTGATTATCAACAAAGCACTCTCAAACCAGCCTAAGAAGAGGTCTTGACTCACCCCGACAACACTACCGAAACCGGAACCGCACCGACGAGAGGAGAAGTGTGCTAGCCGTCACGCATGTCCATCACTAGTTAGAAGAACGCTGGTCCTAAAATCGAGTTCGTCTACATTGTTATCCAGCCATATCTACCTGAAACCTGCTCGAGCAATATGCAGAACAGGTCACAGCATCTTCTTCCATGAAACTGAAGTTTCTAGGTCGAAATTGGGGATAAATTTACTCCCTTCTATAACCAGGTCATTGTTCCACGACTTTCCTGAGGACGAAAGAGGATATGGCTTAGAAGAAAAAAGATGCGTTTCAGACATGGAAAGGAATCGTGGGTTCAGTAGCATGGCCTGTGGACCAGACTATCTGACGGAGGTGCAACCTAGATGCATTTAAGTGGTCATCCCACCAAATCGAGGTGTGAACAAAAAAATAAGGTTGGGTCAGCTGCGGTGATATCATAAAGACCCTTGCAATTTTAACACCTAGTTCTTATTTTCCTTCTTACACTTTCAAAACTGTCAAGTTAACGGGTTTTACGAGCAGATGTTCTTCTAGTGATACCATTTTGTGTGTGTGCACAAGGAGAATGAGCACTTCTTGCCTCATTTGCCTACCGTCCTCTTCAAATTAAAGCACTCACAAGACACCGTACTGAAGAATTTGCTTAGCATGGCCGAACGCGACTGGCCGCAGGAGATGTTTGCGGAGAGTGTGGGCGAGGTGGCTGCTCGCATCAAGGACAATGACCACCTCATCCTTATCTCCAGTCGCCTCGAGGCAAAGCAGATCCTCAGCGAGGAGTGCGGACTGGCGAAGGTACTTTATTTCATGTATGAACCACTCTAAATTCATGCTCGACCGTGAGTCTCATGATGATGAACCAAGGGGATGTTGATCACTGAGTTCGTGTGAATTTGTGGAGACGCGGTCTGAACTCATTACACCAGCACGTGTTTTTACCTTCTTTTCACCCGTAGTGCCCCTTATTCCAAACGCAAATTCAATAGGATCCCCCTATTAGAGACGAAGAAATTGGTTTCTGCAACGAGGAGCCAATTTCCATCGGGTCCTCAACTAGCATTACTAGTCAGCATGCGATGCAAAAGACATGGCTGAAGACAACTTTGAATAAGGTGGTCGAAATACAATAATAAGAACGATTCATATCAAGATGAAGGGAGGTGTTTCTGAATTCCACTGTCTCCAGCTCAAG